TTATTACAACAGAAGGTAGATCAGCTGTGCTTGTTTATATGTGGATTACTATTAATCACTATTACCATTTCCTGAACCATTTATGAATTGTATACATTATGACACAGCATAAATCAATTGAATTCTGGCTGAGTAATTGAATTTTTAAAACATTCTTATTCCTTATTTTTAGGAAATATGAAGAATTTAGAGTACAGGTTCATCATGCTGTAACTTACTCTTAAATTGTTTATAAAAATGGATATGTAAATATGTGTGCATGTGTTTTATATATTACAAATATACATATGAAGAGAGAAAAAAGGATAAAAGTAAACCAAATATAGTGAAATGTTAGCATATTATGAAGGATGTCTCTTAACTTTACTGTAAATCTGAAATTATATAAAAATGTTAATCCTCATCCAAGAGTATGTTTTAATTGATTTTTAGAGAGAGAGAAAGGGTGAGACAGGCGGGGGAGAGAGAAACATCGATTGATCAGTTGCCTCCTGTACGTGTCCTGACCAAGGATCGAACCTACAACTTAGGTATCTATTCTGACCAGGAATCAAACCCATCACCTTTTGGTGTATGAGTTGATGCTCCAACCAAGTCATCTGGCCAGGGCTGAAAAAAATTTTTTTTTAATATATTTTATTGATTTTTCACAGAGAGGAAGGGAGAGAGATAGAGAGTTAGAAACATCGATGAGAGAGAAACATCGATCAGCTGCCTCCTGCACATCTCCCACTGGAGATGTGCCCGCAACCCAGGTACATGCCCTTGACCGGAATCGAACCTGGGACCTTTCAGTTCGCAGGCTGATGCTCTATCCACTGAGCCAAACTGGTTTTGGCACAGGGCTGAAAATTTTAAAGGAAAGAAACTTCTTTTGATAGACCATGAACAATAATAAACTATAATCAAGACTATTAGGTAGAAGATAGCTGTGGTGAAACTGTAAGCAGTCTCTATAAATGAAACAGTGGACTGACAACATTAGATTTCTACAGCAAGGGAAACTATTATAATTTCCTAGTATTAACTTTTTTCCAGTGTTTGTGATAAGCTTGACCAGATTTTAGTGGACCTGAGGAGGACTACAAGTCCCCATATGAGGTGTTTGTTTTCTTCCTGGAATGGGATGATAAAGAACACATCACCAATTCAAATAAAGCCTCATTCTCTTTTATGAAACTGAGGTCTTTTTCCATGTGATAGATATATTAGAATAATTATATTACATACTAGAGGCCCGGTGCACGGAATTCGTACACAGGTAGGGTCCCTAGTCCTGGCCAGTGATCAGGGCTGATTGGGGCCTTCTGGCTGCCAGCCGGGGCCTTCCTTTGTTCCGTGCTGCCCCCTGGTGGTCAGTGCACATCATAGCGAGTGATTGATCTGGTCTCCCAGTCGAACTCCAGAGGGGACACTTTGCATATTAGCCTTTTATATATGTAGATTGTTTTACTGATTTTACTTTTAAATTATAGACTTGGGGAAAGGAAGCCAAACTCAAGGTATCTATTACTTCTTTTTGTCTTCCACATTATTCCTTTCTTCTCTAATCTCATGTCTATAAGAATGAGGCAAATCTTGATAATTAAATATATATTTGTAAGAAAGAACAGATTGAGAGCTGATTTATTTGCTGGTGGATTTTTTTATTTTTCTAATATATTTATTGTAGATTTTCAATAAAATCAATAAGCTCACTGATACATTTAAAATATAGTTTGATTTATGACCTCATTGCATTTCTCAGTATATGATCAGAGAGGACGATAAGATTTTAGGCTAGAAGTCGTTTTGAGTTTGAATCTAGGCTTGATTGAAAAGAGTGCAGCGATGGGCTAGTGGTGCCTGTCATTAGTATACCCTATGGCAGTGATGGCGAACCTATGACATGCGTGTCAGAGGTGACACGCGAACTCATTTTTTTGGTTGATTTTTCTTTGTTAAATGGCATTTAAATATATAAAATAAATATCAAAAATATAAATCTTTGTTCTACTATGGTTGCAAATATCAAAAAAATTTCTATATGTAACATGGCACCAGAGTTAAGTTAGGGTTTTTCAAAATGCTGACACGCCGAGCTCAAAAGGTTCGCCATCGCTGCCCTATGGCATATTCTCAGGAACAGACTGCCTTTTGGAAATCTCTGGGCTGAGTTCAATGATTCTCAGTCTAGGACAGAATCATTTCAAGGGGGGCTTGGCAAACTCATGGGAACATTTTTGAGTCACAACAACTGGAGATGATTTGGCATTTAGTAGGAGAGCCATGGCCACTCACCATCCTGCGGTTCAAGGCTTACAACAAAGAAATTGCCCATTCAAAAGGCCATAGTGATCTGTGATCTACTCCAGAGCCAGCCTCTGTGAGTCTGTGACCCTGATGCAGTGCAACTGTATGTCTGCTTAATGCTATCCCAAGACTTCTTATACCTAGCAGTGAATGGCTAGCAGGGGACAGTGTTCACTGCTGGGTTGCCCAGCCTGTTTTGTTCAGAAAGCACAGAGATCCTAATGGACAGTAGGATAACATGGTTTACCTGCCCTGTCCCTCTCTTTCCTCTCACTGCCCCAGACTTCTTGGGCTTTAGTTTCTGGGATGAACTATATTCTGACCATCATTTAGCTTGCCCCCTTCTCACAGTATCTTAGTCCTTATAGAATACAGAAAAAGAGTGGTAATGGTAGTAGGAAAGTATAGTTTTGTTATGGGTGGGACATTTGCATAGTCTCACAACCAGTAGATTTTTCCTTCTAGAATAAATAATATTAGGAAATAGCTGGTTGTTTAGCTTTCTCACTATACTGCTGAAGTTACTTTTTTTCTTTAGTTGCATATTTATGAGAAATTAAAAATTTAATGACTTAAAAGTGACTTTCACAATCTTTATTTAGGACAAAAATCATATGTCTTAACTTTTCCCAATGGAAGTTATATGCCACTCTATGTGTGTGTTATAGTAATATTTTATCCTTACCTTGTCATATGCATTTTGACTGCTGTAACAAAAATACCATAAACTGGTGGCCTACAAACAGCAACATTTTACTTGTCACTGTGCCAGAGGCTGGAAGGCCATATCAGGGTGCTAGCCTGGTCAGGTTCTGATGAGGACCTTCTTCTGGGTTGCAGACAGCCACCCTTTGTATCCTTTATGGTGGAAGGCGAGAGGGAGCTCTGTGAGGCCCCTTCTGTGAGAACAGTAATTCTAATCGTGAGGCCAGAGCCTAAGCTCTTCCAAAGGTCCCACCTCCGAATACCGTCACTTTGGAGACAGGATTTCAACATATGAATTTGGGGGGCGGGGGGCATAAACTTTCAGACCATAACATACCTTAGTTGAAGTAGTTTTGGGGGGGAAATGGTAAGTGGCATGTGCATGTCATTATGCTACTCAGGACCCTATAACCGTACTCTTTCTCAATTAGGGTTTTGAGGCATAGGCATAAGGCATACCTTTCAGAGCACTTTGAATTTGGTTTCAATAGCTTCTTGAGCAGTCTTCTAAAAAAATATAGCTCCATTCTCCACTTTGGGGATTTAAATAAATACTGGATACTCTTTAGCTTATATCATCTCACTACAGTTAATTTGTTAACTGGGGAGCCATTGTGAGCCAAGCTTCCCGCAAAGGCAGTAGGGTGGATGCCCCATTATCATTATACCCTTGTCTTCTAAATAGGACCATAATTGACATTGCAGGTCAAGCACATTATTGCCTCTAGCTACTTTGGTTGCTGGAAAGGCCAAGTGAGAGAGAGACTCTTTTGAAGCCAACAATCTTAACAAAAGTCAACCTAACTTAAATCTTAAGGTGCTTATCATTTAAAAATCAATTAAAAAAAAACAAGGCTTGTATCTCTGAACACAAAGGGTAGTATAAAAGCCGTGTGTGTATGTGTGTGTGTGTGTGTGTGTGTGTGTGTGTGTGTGTGTGGTTTTGACTCATTACTAAAAATGATCACTTTGGGAAAAAAACCACACATGTAGAATTGAAGCAGTTGAAAATTAACTCAGCCTTTAAAACGTTTGTGGGTCCTGGGGACTGTCAGTGACCCCTCTCTCTACCCCTTCCTGAGTCCTCTATAGGAACCACTCAGATGAACCTTCATGAATTCCTGTGATTGAGGAGGAGGCCAGAAGAAAGACCTTTATTCTCCACAAAATTGGGCTATTTCCCCAAAGAAACAATTATTTGGCATCTTAGTAATATCTTTGTAGTTAGTATCACATGAGATCCTTGCAGCATCAGCAGAACAGTCATCGGGTCATCCAGTGTTGTTAGGAAAATTACAGTAATCACTTTGTCCATCATGTACCTAAATTATAGCAAGGAAACACATGTTAACATTTCCTCCCAGTGAAAGCCTGTGGGAGGGGCTGAGAGACTGTGTTAATATACATGATACGTTGGAAACACAATTAGGTAGTTACAGATATTTACAGGTTAAAGATAGGGTGAAATAGGAGTGAAGAGTCTTGGCTGTTGTAGTTTGCTGATGGGGTGGCGGTAGGGTGGGGCATAGTATTAATCTCTACTGTTGCAAATGTCAATGAAAAGCTAAAAATATTTCCTAAATCTAATAACAACTAAAAATAGTTACTGAGATTTTTGCTTGCTAGGGAGATCTTACTGGTTAGGCCTCCTCTGACTCCCCTGAATGAAATACATCTTGCTGTTGTCACTCTGTCCCTTACTCTTATGGTTTTACTTCTTAGCCCATCGTGTGTGTGTGTGTGTGTGTGTGTGTGTGTGTGTGTGTATTTATTTATGTGTACACTCTCATTTGGTACCTGCCTGCCTCACTAGAAGACAACCTCCAGGAAAGCAGGATCTGTGTCATTTTGTGTGTCACTGTTTCATGGGGAGCCAAGAGCAGAAATAGGAGTTCAATAAATATATGTTGCATGAATGAGTAAAATGAATGGATGACTGATAAATGCTGGACTACTTTATTCTTTTATTTTGTTTTAGTTGCAGAATTAAGAAAAATCTTTGAACCAGAGAGGAAAGAATTTTTAAAAATGAAAAGGTAAGTTATATATTGTATGTAATTTGCAAGTAGAAGAGCTTGGCGAAGCAGTATTCAGTTTTCCCTTAGAGTTGATTTCCATTGTTTTTTTATTCTGTTTTGTTTTGGGGTTTTTTTGTGTTTTGCGCAGAAAAGAAAGAATCGCCAGGCGCTTAGAAGGAATTGAGACAGACACGCAGCCCATCCTCTTGCAGAGTTGCACAGGGTTAGTGACTCACCGGCTGCTGGAGGAAGACACGCCCAGATACATGCGAGCCACAGACCCAGCCAGCCCCCACACCGGTGAGCATCCCTGGTGGCCTCATCAGGCAGGCTGCTCCAGCATAGCCTTTTTGTCTAATGGGTTGGAAAGTGAGATACTCTAAAAAAATTAATTGTGTAGGTGTAATTACTTATTATTACACATACTTGTTAAAAACATCAACAACACATTTATGTCCGCCCTCACAGGACTGGTTGAGGGCAGCTCCTGTGTTGAGCGTCTGCCCCCCTGGTGTTCAGTGCATATCATAGCAACTGGTCATTCTGCCTGTCATTCCGTTGTTTGGTCGATTTGCATATTAGAGTTCTATTATATAGGATGGTTTCTGGTTTCTACCCAGAAAGCGGTGTTGGTCTCACTACATGATGTTATTGGTTTGCATATCTCTATAGTTTCTGATCTTTTATGGCAAGAAAAGTAGAGAACTAAGATTTTAAAAATTACATACCCGAAAAATCAAAAATAGAGTACCAAGTTTATAGCCAGAAATAAACCCTCTTGTATAAAAGGTTAAGCTATCTATAATAATAAAAGTGTAATATGCAAATTAGACTAGACATTTTTCCTGAGGAATTCAGGGCTATGAAGGAAGCCCGATCCCTGGTGCTGGCCGGCAGCTGGAGGCAAGCCTGGGTCTCGAGTGCCTGCCAACAGCCGGAGGGAAGTCTGGTTCCCTGGTACTGGAGGGAAGCCTGGGTCCCAGGTGCCAAAGGGAAGCCGGTTCCGGCAGCTGGGTGAAGGAAGGCATGAATTTTGTGCATCGGGCCTCTAGTCTATATAATAAAAGCCTAAGCAACCATTATGGCAGAACTACCAGAATGACCAGTTGCTTTGATGCACACTGACCACCAGAGGGCAATGCTCAATGCAGGAAATGCCCCCGGGTAGTCAGTGTGCTCCCATGAGGGGAGTGCTGCTCAGGCAGAAGCCAGGCTCACAGCAATGGTGGTGGTGGGAGTCTCTCCAGCCCCGTGGCAGCACTAAGGAGCAGTGAGCAGGCAGGCATTCCCCAAGGGGTCATGGACAGCGAGAGGGTGCAGGTCGGGCTGAGGGATCCTCCCCTTAGTGCAAGAATCTCATGCACCGGACCTCTAGTGTATTATAAAATCATTTAAGCATCACATGTTAGTGAGAAAAGGAAGAGTTATTCAGTAAATTGGTCTTGGAAAAATGGGTTCTTGTGGGGTGGGGAAGGGAACATATTTCTCTTCTCACTTCACACTAAACATAAAAGTAAGTTCCAATTAATTATATGATTAATTTAAATAAAATAAAAAACATGAAAATGTAGGTGAATAGATAATTCAAGTTGAATTGAAAAGGACTTTCAGAACACGGAAACAGCTGTGGAAATCACAAATGACCAGGTAATGGACTTGACTACATAACGATTAACATCTGTACTCCAAAGAAAATCTTACAAGTAGACTTAACAAGAAAGTTACACAAGCAAGTTTGAAAATATTTATAAGATAAAGACTCATGTTCTTCCTATAAACATTGACACAAACCAATAAAAATGACACTATGAATTAATAGAATACAGAGCAATAAGCTTGACCAGGTATTTCAGAGAAGAATAAGATAAGACAAATGTCTAGTAAGCAATAGAAAAATGTGTTTATTCTCTTTTTCAAGTAATCAAAGGAAATTTTAAAAATTAGCCCTCAATGTTTATAAGAAGAGAGCATATAGTGCAGATTCAAGAGTAAATTGATGTGGACTTTATAGAAATTAATTTGACAGTCCGCCGAAACCGGTTTGGCTCAGTGGATAGAGCGTCGGCCTGTGGACTGAAAGGTCCCAGGTTCGATTCTGGTCAAGGGCATGTACCTGGGTTGCGGGCCCATCCCCAGTAGGGGGTGTGCAGGAGGCAGCTGATCGATGTTTCTCTCTCATCAATGTTTCTGACTCTCTACCTCTCTCCCTTCCTCTCTGTAAAAAATCAATAAAATATATTTTTTAAAAAATCTGATAGTCTAACATGTATATTTAAGTGATGTTGCAGCCACTGTTGAAAACAGTGTGGAGTTTCCTCAAAAAATTTAAAATGGAACTGCCTTTTGATTCAGTGATCCCACTTCTGAGAATATGTCCTAATAATCCCAAAACACCAATCAGAAAGAATATATGCACCCCTATGTTCACAGCAGCACTATTTACAATAGCTAAGATCTGCAAACAGCCCAAAATCCATCAGTATATGAGTGGATAAGAAAGCTGTGTTACCTTTATACAATGGAATACTATGTAGCTGTATGACAGTATGGAGGGACCTGGAGACCATTATGCTC